CCTTCCTTCCTTCCTCCCTCCCTCCCTCCCTCCCTCCCTCCCTCCCTCCCTTCCCTTGCATAAAGCAGGTAAAATCAAGTGGGACGGCACATGTTATGGTTTTGTGATTTCCAGAAAAAGATGATGCATCCTTTCCCTTCAGTCAAGGTTAGAATAATAGGAACTGCATTTTTTTTAAATGTTAGGGCACGTAAAATCTTTGCACCTTATTGTGGTTTTATGTTCATGGAACAGATTGTTCTCCGGTTGCATAACCCAATGATAAGCAACAACTCGTCTAGCCTGAAAACATCTGGGCAACTACTTGTTAACAGTGAAAAGATACCAAAAATTCTGCCTCTTTGTTGCCATCCAGTAGTGATCTGGACATTTGAAGCCCTTGTAACCACAAGCAAGATGACAGTAGCCTTCATTGGTCCTCACTAGAAACTGTGTTGCCCTTTTGCTTGTTTGCTTAGATTATTTTAATTAGGAAAACTTGTATTGGTAGCACAGTGCTGACCTTCAGCATAACCTTTCTTTACAAAAATGTCTCTGGGGCCCTGAGAATGCCAAGAAAAGCTATAGTCCACTGTTTATTTGGGAAGGTACCCACTTGTCCAGAAAAAAAAGGTAAAGAATATTCTGAAGGACCAGAAGCCTATGACAGAAAGCTAGTTTCCCTTCTGTCGCCACAGTTGGCATGGCTGCCATTTTGGAACAGCACCCACAGAGGGTTTTTCAATGTTGCAGGTGACCAGGTGAGAATGCCTTTGGGAATGTGAGATTTGAATCGCAGCTTTGCATGTGAGTTGGGTGATCCACCAGGTGGACTGCCAAAGTCCAAATGCTCAATTTTAAGGGCCTATGTTTCTCCATAGTTACTTGCATACAGGGCAAGAAAAGGGCATTATTTGACTGACTTCACCTTTCTGGCATTCAGGCACACCACATAATCACAACCAGCATCTGTTCCCATGAGCATAAACAGAAGGCAGCCACATGTTTCCAAGGCATGTGTGGCTTTTCTGGATGCTTCCCAAAGCATTCCAGCCACAGCCAGGCATGAGTTGCTGAAGACCTTTCTTTCTAGAATGTTTTCTAACAGAATTAAAGCTTGATCCTAGGTCCAAGGATCTAGGTTCAGGTGCCCTGAAGTATGTGCAGAGTGTCTTAACCATGGTTATTGCAGAAGAATTGCCAGCAACAACATATTACAAATACACAGAGTTGAATGTGCAAGCTTGTAGACAGACAGCAAGCATTTGGTGCTCTTAAGTTCCTTAAACTCTGTCTTCTTTCATTTAAGGGAAAGAAAGTGAGGTGTGTTGCTAAGCTTACTCCGACCAGCTTTTCCTTCCCTCCTTCCTTCCTTGATAGCCTCTGAAGGCATTAATCAAAAATTTATCCTTATTGTTCCACCACATTTTCTTTTCCCCTGCTCAAGATTAGAGCCTGCAGACCCTGCTTTACATTAAAGAAAAAAAAAAAAAAAAGCAAAGGAAAGACATGTACTAGCTGGTGTCAGGAATTTTAGGAGTACAAGATTAAACCCTTGGCTGCACTGTGAAAGGAAAATATCTCTTCTAAGATTACGGCTTGCAGAATCTGCAGCCTCCCTGTCTCAAATCAACAAGGGCATATATTTTGTCCCTTCCAAGCCCAATTTCTCTCCCATGCCCATTTATGCAGCTTAAACAGATTATCTCTAAAAAAATGTCTTGTTGAATCAGAACAAAACTATCTTCTGTGGGAGAGCAAAAAGATAAGCTTTTCAAGCACTTTGGAAACTGCCTTATTTTGAAATTCTCCAACATTTCTCTGCGCAAAGAAAGCACCCCATTTCCCAGGGAATTGGAAGAAGTTTTCCAACAGTTCCTCAAAGATGGAGATCACCTCAGTCAAAGAAGAGAGAAAAAAAATCTCTTTATGTTCTATTGGACCCCTAACAAATGTCATCACTCATCCCTTCTGTGTTGGAGATGTAACAAATATGCTATTTTACCTATCCGATATAATAAAAGAAATCCAAATATGCCTGATGTCACCAGCTGAGCTCACTGTGAAGCCAAAAGGATCAAATCAATCTGAATTTGCAAATTTTCCCCTCAAAATCTCAGCAATATGAACTTGGCTGGGGAAATGCAGAAGCAAGAAATTGCAGTGGAAGAAACAGATCGAATTTTCCCTCACCATGTAATTCACATGAACTTTCAGAATACCCTGGACTGATCTAATTCACAAAGTTGTTGTGGGGTCTAATGAAAGAATGCACAGACCCTTCTAGGCAACAGTGAAGAAGAATAGGTATACACACCACCGTGACTTATTCACAGCCCGACACACATCCAGAGGAACTTTGTTCCTTACACATCTTCCAACAGCAGACAAGTCCTTGCTCAAGGACTGAGCATGGTTAGGAAGCCTTCTCCTTCAGGGACTCCTTCTTGCCCTCCCAACCAGTAACCCACTGCACATTCCAGCCCACCACACCACTTCTTTATAGTGGGTTAAAAACAGCAGACTTACTCTTCACCAGCTGCCAAATTCCTTTCTCGGTTCTTGTTTCTGCGCCTGCCTCTGTCTTGAGACCAGCCCCTCTCTTTGTCTCGTCCTTTGAGGAGTTCGTTTTTTTTTTCTCTCTCTTTTGCTCAATATCTTTTTTTGGTCATAGCACCTTCCACAAACTCAAAGAGGAAGTGGTAGCAACTTTCAGAAAAGTTGGGTAAGAGATGCTTTAGAAAAAATTAAAATATAGTATGATGAGTTAGGGTAGACAAGGTGAGCTACGGGAGTTGGCTGGTGGGTGCACGTGGCTGTACACATGTGCATTGAAGTTCTTCTTTTTGTTGCCCTTGTTGGCATCTGGATTTCATGCACTCACACTGCCTGTATTTCTCTTCTTTTCCTGTTTTTTTAAACAAGCATATACAGATATACAAATATAGGTTAGTACAGATACGTGTTAATTTCCCTCTTTAAAAAGTACATCAACAGTACCCTGCTTTCATGGGGAAAATCTATCTAGGTGGCTGCTAGGAGTTAAAAATGACTTGATGGCATATAATCAATCAATCAATCAATTAATTGCTCTGTGCTGTTGTTGTTGTTGCTATTATTATTATTATTATTATTTAGCCTTATAATCCTTTTATTTTATTTAAAACAAAAGTATGCTGTATTTTCAAGAAAGATATTACCTATGAATAAATGGATAATGACCAAGGTCATGCAATTATTACTCAATATGACAATAGTAAAGGTTCCAAGCAGAGTAGATTATTTTTTAGATATCAAAAAGAAGTATACATTTTGAGTTTAATGCCAAACCTTCCACTATATTGTTGTTTATAAATACTTTAAAAAAAGAAAAGAAAACAAACCCTAAGAATAATATAGGTAAGTATTTAATTTCTGATTTCCCCCTTTGTACTCCAACCTGTGCCTGTTGGAGTAAGCTTTAAAACTGTATTCTAAATATGTGAGTATTTACTATTTACCTTGCTGCATAAATGTAATTTATATGGAAACCATTCTTGCTTAAATTGAGTTAAACTTCTGTTATGCATGTACATACTGTTAGTTTTGCCATTGCTATGTATTCTCCAAGTTTCAATTCCCAGTCTAATATTCCCAGTTGGTACTATGTCTTTTTTCCAGTATTTTGCAAAATTTACAAATGTATCTTAATAAATTATTTTTATTAATAAATTATTTTTAATTAGATATTTTTTTGCTTTATATATGAGACTGATGTCAGCATTGTCAACTTTTGAGGAGGTTATGGGTGGCTGATCCTTATTGCTCCACCATACCTTTTCAAGTTTTCTTCCACTACTATTGGCTACAATGTTGGACTAGAGAGAACCATGTCTGAGTCTCCTGTTTGCCATCTTTGGCTGTATTCTCCATGTACTGTGCTTTGAGGTGACACTTGGAATTTTGTTTGAGCGTCTGTGATAGTTTTCCTTGTTCTGGATCCCTCCAGTTGGGTTGGTATCCTTTAGGTAGGCTGATCTAGGACATCAACAACATCTCAAGGCCCACGCCAAAATACATAGGATTTTAGAGCTGGAAGTGGAGGAAATCAGGGCGGAGAAGAATGAGTCAGTCTAATGCAGTGGTTGAGGTGAAGGATTGGGACTGGAGACAGCCAGTTCAACTCAAACTATAGAACTTATGAGGAGACTTTGGGCTACTTCCCTGTCTCTCAGCCTAATCTACCTCTATGGGTTGTTGTGAGGATACAATGATGGAGGACTTCATGAGTGCTATCTTGATTTCCTTAAAGGACAGGAGAGGTATTAATGTAACAGTTAAATATGCAGGTCCAACTTTACGGAGATCAATCTTTTCCTTAAAGGCTTCCTTTGTTTGCAAGGGGCTCTAGTCCGAGTTAATAACCCTGAGAAGGAAAAGCAAGGAGCAGAAAGTGGATTTGGGAATCCATACTTAGCAGCAAGCATATCCACTGTATGTATGTATGCATGTATGTATTAAATTTCTCCCTGCCCATCTCCCCCCAATTTTGCCAATGTAGTTTGAGAAATTTGGAAATGATTTTATTATATATAAACTTGAATCTAGAAATTTAGACATGCATAGTTGATGGACTCTGTGTCCTTTTCCTTTTGTTTGTTTGAAGGGGAGAAGCCTGGATGACAGAGAACATGGTTGACCAGGATTTATATTCAAAGAGGTAAAGAGAACTGCAGACTCATGAGTCATCCTCTTTCAAGAACTACAAATTTTGCAAAATACTGGAAAAAAGACATAGTAGTTCTTCTTGTGTACCAGGATTCCTTGTACACAAGAAGAAAGGACAGGTGGTAGGAGAGACCAAGCAACATGATAACCATGGACATTGATCCTAGGGGCAATGAGAACCAGTGCTGTTAGTGGGATTTACAGGTCTAAAATATATGGGAGTAAATGTCTAAGTCACACATTTGAAATGCTCTTACTACCTCACTGCTTGCAAGATTGTCAGGTCATACAGCTCAAGCTTATGTCTGTTACTTTCAGGTTATAACCCCATTATAACATATAAAGGTTCTATAACTTTATACTGCAGCATACAAAACTCACCAGAAATTGATTGCCAGTAAAACCCAGCAAGGATTATAGATTAGTAGATCAGAGGTAGACTATGTCCATACTTAAACTTTGATATCTGTATGCCACTATCTAAGTCATCTAGATTTTAATTTTCATTGCCATCAATCTTTGCTATATCGTGGTTGTTAGAATCTTAGTCTTTAAGATTTTTCTTTACAGTTTCAGCATTAATATTTAACAATATTAGATATTTATGATAGTCATGCTATTACTACTACTACTACTACTACTATTATTATTATTATTATTATTATTATTTTTATTATTATCTAAATTGATGTAGTAACTGTAAATCTTACAGGTTATGTTATTTGATGCTGGTCTATGACCAAAATAAAGGATATATTATTATACTTTTTTTTTCATGTTTAAATGTTTCGGGCATATTTTATTTATTTATTTAGTGTGTGTCAGTGGCAGAAGCTGAAAAAAAATCTTCTTATTAGGCACATGAGTATAGAGCATGGAATCTCAAGGGGAACTTTACATTACATGAAAAAAAAGTCAGAAAGGTAAACGTTTAAAGTGGTTAGGATATGTATGTGCGTGTTTATATGCACTGTATATGTATGTAAGTACCCAGCTGTGGAAATGAATTTGACTCAAAATAGGGGGAAAAAATGGCAAAATACTTGCATTTGCAGTGGCGGAAAAATAGATTAAACAATTGATATTGTGTAGGACCCTTCTTTGGGCAAACGATTAGAGCAGGCTGAATATTGGCCAAGAATTAGTGTGTCAAGCAAGACTTTAAATCTGGCATATATCTGCAGATTAGCACAATATTGGTAGGGGGAAGGGGAGGGAAGGTAGCAGAGAAATCCCAGTATGGACCACAGTGTGATTTCAGAATCAAAACCCAATCCTTTTCTTCCATAGTGCATGGTGCAGCATGCCTGGAAGGAAGGAGTGATCTCCTACACGTTTTACTTCGTTTTCTGAGTCCTGATGTTTGCAGCATAAATGAATGTTGATGCACTGGTACTCTTTTTCAGCCAGGAGGAGCTGTTTAGCCTGCCTGAGAGGCAAGGGGTGGATTTTTTTCATTTTGGGGTTGCCTTATAAATATCACCCTGCTTGTTTACAGTGTGATCTCTCTTCTTGCCAGGTTGACCTTTTGACTGTGAAGGTAAGAAACCACTGGATGACTCAGGTCAGAAAATCCCTCACTGAACATCTTGGAGCATCTGGACTGGAGCATCCCTCTGCTGGTGCTCGGTGGCAGCTTGGCTGGCTCATTTCCTGTGCTGGGAACAAGCCCCCATATTGGTCTGGCACAGCAAACCTTCGCCAAGAGCTTTGTAGCACTTTGGGCGATCACCGCATCTGTGGTGTGTGTGCAGAGATGCGGGCACTGTCGCAACGGCCAGGAGGGGTGCAGAAACTCAACAGAAAATGAAATGCAAAAAGTACAGGCTGTGATCATTCTCTTCAAGTCATAATATAAGCATTTGTGGGCTGGAAAGACCTCAACAGGCGAGAAAAACCAAATCGGAAAAGGGTGGGAAAAATAGATCTTTCTTTGAAACAAATCAGCTTGTTATCACCAAAGGGTAGAGCTGGAGCAAGGGGATTTCTGTCCACCAGGGTATCTATCCCCCTCTTTTTAAAATTTATCCCCCACAGGTTTTTCTTCTTGTACTTCTCTACCAGCACTGCATAGGTGGATTAGAATAGGATTTGTGCAGTGATAGTCCAATTAATTTAGGGCAGTGTTTCTCAACCTTGGCAACTTTAAGATGCATGGACTTCAACTCCCAGAATTCCCCAGCCAGCATGCTGGCT